TAGGTTAGAATATCTTATTTATTAGGATAGATATGATATTAGTCAATGTAAATGGAAGTTAAAAAAAGAATCTTATAAATATAGCAAAGATGGTTGAAGCTTTTTATCAATGACATCTATTAAAATCAAAATAAAAAATATTAAATCTTTGATATAAAAAAAATTAAAATTAAAAAGATAGCATTTTATCTTCTATCTTTGTTTATTGATTCTATATAGTTGTGGCTCTAAAAAAATAGAGAACCAACAACTAGTAGATTCAATTCAAAAGCTATCATTTTTGACTTGCTAGATGAGACATTATAATTGTTACAACCTTTAAGATAATGTAATTGAGATGAAGATCCTTAAGAATGGCATATTCTTCCTTGAATAGATAGCAAGATACAATATGTTTGGTATTACAATTTTGAAAGAGACTTCCAATGGTTTGTGATTTTGTTAGACTAATAATGACTCCTAATAATGTTCCAAATATTTTATTTGAAAGAAGTTATGAAGACGTCAACAATAATCAAATATTAAGGTGGTATTTTTACCCTCATATGGGATAATATCAATAGCTAAGAAGACCTATCAACCATCTCTAAATAGAATAAAGATCAAAGTATGCAGTAAACATAATTTTTTGTATTTTAGATTTTTTCAAGATATGATGACTATTCCTTATGGAAGTTGTCTCTAGAAAAGATGACAATGTCATGAACGTATATATATTTAATCTAATAATTATCTATATAATTAGATAGAAATAAATAAAAATAAATTAATTTTATATCATCTTCTAAAAAAGTTTTTTAAAAACTTTATAGATGCAATTTTGACTTTTTATATGTTTGTAGTTGATTGTTAGGTTAAAAACTTGGTTAATAAATTAGCCACATATTACACATATTGATAGCTTATGAAACAAGTTAATTATGTGGCATATATATATATATAAAAAACCTTACCTTATAAATTAAGACATGTGTCTTGCAAAGTCAACATATGTTGGAAGTCTTATAGAACATTGCAATATAGCTCTTAGTTTGATAGTATATATGAAGGCAATAATAAAGCCTTTTTCACTCTTATAAATATCTTTTTTGTTCTTAACATAGATTCAAGAATCTATACTATTTTTGTCTTTGGTAATAGTTATTTCAATTTAATATTATACTATCTTTGAGTGATTTTTTAGTCTTTTCAAGTAATATAAGGATGTATTGATCATTCAATTTTCTAAGATTCATGTCCTTGACAACTCTTTCTATTGAAATAGATAATTATATAGAATATGAGGTGAAAACAATCCTTTATTTTTTGCAAAGGAAATATAAGTTGGAATATTTATGCATTGGCATAGCTACAATATCAATGATTGTATAAAGACATTAAAAAAAAATCTAATTAATACACCTCAAAAGGTACAAGAGTTTCATCGATGCTATCTTCAAAAATCTGAACCTATTTTAGGATGACTTCTTTATGAAGTTTCTATTAAGATGTATATAATAATATATATATATATATTATTCATAACAATCTTAGATTTTATTGTATCTAATTTATAACCCAATATGTCAAATTGAAGAATGTTTAGAGAGTCTTTAAATCATAAATCTCAACTAGAATTACAGCTAGAGTTTTTTTTTTCATAGCTACTAAATCAACCATTCCAACTCTCACAAATTTCACAACTTTCACAAGATAATCCTCAAGATGAAATTGGACCTTTTCATGAGAAGAAACTTTCATGCTATAGTCAATTCAAATAATAATAATAATAAAAAAAAACCTCTAAGATGATGCTTGAACTTTGATCATTTTATTGCAAGTTGATGTAGTTGAAGCTAATGGAGTTGAAGTCACTTTTCATGCATGTTTTTGAAGGCCTTAATACTACCAAGTCCCAAAAATAGGTCTTCTACAAGCAAATGAAGATAGCCATTATTGTTATTTGAATGGACTAGTCTATCATTTGAATAAAAATCAATGAATAGCATATGTTGCAACTATTGTCCAATAAATTCTTGAAGATATGAAACCAATTCTCTTCGTAGAGCTCGGAGTTAGATAAGTGAAGTGATGTTACAAATATCTAACAAGAAGTTTTTAGAAATATTTTTAAATATTCTAATAGATTCTAAAAATTTCTAGGAAGATTAATAAAGTTGTCCAAGAAAGATCTTATAATTGTTTTGTCTCTAAGTAATATGAAAACTTCTTGAGAAGCTTCCTAATATCTAGTATATATTGGAAGTTGAGGTCGTGTCAATCCTTAGTCTTGACAATACTTTTCTTGAAGCTCTAGCTCATCTTTCTTAATATTGATCTTATACTCATCTAGTTTAATCAAGTTCATATTAGCTTTTATGTTAAAATTCTTTTGTTCAACTTCTTCTTTAGTCTTCTATATAGTGTATCTATGATATAAGATCTTTCAAACAATTAGATGGTTGAAATCTAAGAATAAAAGTATTAGTTGATTAAAAAAACTATTTTTTTCTAAAAATAATTAAAAAAATAAAAATTACATTTCTATTACATATAAATTATAATATTGAAGACATAAAAATTTACTATATTTAAGATATGCACAATTTTTTTTAATAAAGTAGATAAGATTTATAATGTATAAAAATAGAATCAAATTAGAATATAGATTCAACTACATCAATTTATTATAAAAATAGAATTTAAAAGACTTTAATAAGATAATTATACTTTTATATAGTAGACTAATTAATAATAATAAGATAATTTATGTTTAAAAATAATAATTTTATAAAAAATATAAATAAATCAATGATAAAAAAATATATCATTAATATTAATATTATATATATATATATATACATATTTATAATTAGAAAAAATTCATGTCATTGGACACTAAAATCTTTGATATATCCATTCATGCTCTTATTCATCTATACTCCCTCATTCTCATTTTTTATAGTCTCATGTTTCTATATTCCTTGGTTTTTTAGTTTCCGTGATTCTTATATTTTCCAAATTCATTTCTTCATAACTAATTAAAAGACTTCTTTGTTTCTTTGTGTTATAGTTAAGTTGTCTTATATAATAGATATATTAATTCAAAATGAAAAATTACTTAAATTTTATTTTAGAATTATTTTTATAATATTTTTATTTTTATATTATAAATAAATTAATAAAAAATATATTATATTTTTATATTATTTAATTTTTAAAAAAATTAAAAAATTAATGGAATATTTAATGCAAAAAATAATATTTTTTATATAATTAGATTAAAAGAATTAAAAAATAACCTAATAGAGAATAAGACCAAATAAACTTTTATTATAAAAACAAGGTAATTATAAAACATCTCAAATGTTTATTAATTAAGACACTATTTTTAAAATAAAATTCATAGAATACAAATCAAATTTTCACATGTGTTTATATATTTATATATTATAAAATAAATTTGGCATCTATCAAAAATTTAATTACTAATAAAACTCTAAAATATCTAAATTATAAAATTACTAATAAAAATAATATGTACATAAACAAATATTTTTTCTTCATGATTAATAATTTCTAACACACATATATATATATATATATATATATGTGTGTGTGTGTATATATACATATATATATATATGTGTGTGTGTATATATACATATATATTGTCTAAACCAAAATGCATTATGGCATTAGCAAAAAAAATATTTTGAAATGTTTTAAAAAGCATATATGAGATTCTTTGAGATTTTTCTGAATTTATAGTTTTATAAAAACAGTGTTTTATAATATAAAATTTATGGTGTTTATTTCGGTTATTTTATTTTATTTTATTGATTTGCAAGGTACCCACCAATCTTATATACATAATATATTTCTTTAATTGCAAATATCTTTTCATGTGTTTCATTTACCTTGTATTTTAAAAGAATTTCATATTGAAGTTTTTGATAACATTAATGCTCAACAAAATAAGAATCACCTTAAATTTCAAAAAAGAAACAAGTGCATTTTTGAAGCTATGTGAAGGAGAAATAGTCATTGAGATGGGCTCAAAATGTACTCAAACATGTGCAAAGCAAGCATCCACTAAAGGTGGGAGAAGGAATTTCATGCTAACTATTTTTAGGGTCCAACATCTCCATTGTATTTGCTTTTATAAAGTCCTTTGGTGAGTCATTCCAACATGCTCTGTCAATGGATGAACGGTTTGATTTATCTGCATTCCATTGTTGAGCCCAAGTAAAATGGGAGTGAGGTATCTCAAGGTGCTAATCAAATATATACACGGGAGATTTGCCCCACATGGTGCTTGAAGAAACTTACGCTTTACCTGGGATTGTGACTTTTATACTACTTTAGGTATGTCGTCCACTGAGTGACGGAGAAATGTTCAACGCAGCAACTAGTTTTTCATGTGATCCACCACACCGCGACTATGACAATTTCATGGGGGTTCCTCATAAGCAACCGAGAGGGGAGAAAAGTGCAGGCAAGGAGGATTGAACACGGATAAGTATAGAAGCCGCCATTGCGACCGCACCGCTAATACTTTTCAGGGACCCAACCAATCGCAAGAGAGTTGTCCCTGTGGTCCCAGATCTAGTTCTTCGTCACGCATTGTTTTTCTCTAGGGTTTGGATTAGTGAGCAAGTGTAAGGGTATTTATAGCTTTCACAACGATAATCATCCGTGGCGGTTGCTTCAAACGCTCATTTTGTTCGGCGACCATGTCTTCGGCCATGGGTAAAGTTGATTGTTATTCGCAGGGTGTGAAGCTCTCGATGACGTGTTGTTGTCCAGTTTCGGATTTGATTCCCACTCGGTATCTGCTTCCGTCCGGAGGTCGCTATGGAGAAGCTTGGTCGGAAGTTTGGGGAGGGTTTGTTCGACCGGTGGTCTTGGATGTGGACAGCCGGACCTGTCCACGATCTTGTGCAGAATTCGATGCAATTGGAGTTGTCTTTCCGTCAGCTTCGTTGGAAGTTTGCGGTATTTTTTCTTGCTTTTTTTGGTGGATTGTAATCCACGTTTTTGATGAGGGCTCAATCACGGGAGCTTGTCTTCTGTTGCACGAAAGTGGAAGAGTTGAGGTGTCTTAGGAGCGTTTCCAATAGTTAGGACATTTCATAGTTCTGAAATTGATCATAGAAACCCGTATTCTCATGTGTAGTAGCGGAGTTGACGGGATGAGTTAAGTCAGGGATTAGTAGTTTCCCAGACGGATTTCTGATTTTCTCTTCATTGAGTTGTGATTTATGTTCTGCAAATTTTAGAATAAGAAATTGGTAGGTAGTTTGCAAGATTTTCGGTTCTGGGACCTATCGCACCGGAATTGGTGCAGGATATTGTATTCTTATCGGGAGTTTGCGGTGATAGAGTAGGTTTTTGTTTGATTTGTAAATGTTCGTCTCGAGGTGACGTTCACCGTTTCCCGAAGCTGGCTTTTATTATTTCCTCGTAGCTTACACCGGGTCTGTGTGCTGTCTGTGCTGTTGCTTCATTCAACGATCGGGTAGTCGCTTTCGCAGCTACGACAATTTGTGTTCAGCAGACAGTTTGCGCCAGGTAGTTTTGAATTTAATTGAAATATGCTATATTCCCAAGGCATCTATCTCCGAATGCCCGCTAGGGGTAATTGAAATTGCGCTCCTTCATCTTGATGCAGCTTTTTCAGCTCATGCATTCTTTGTGCTTGTTGTTCGTCTCTGTTGAGAACCGTGATCGGTAGACTTCTTAGTAGGTTGTGTGGTAGAGTTGATTGTGTTTGTAGCAGTATTAGTCAGCCAATTGTACCTTTCCTTCTGAAAGAGGCGTAGACGGCTGCTTGCTTTGATTGGTATATATTTAAAAGCTGATTCATGTGATGCTAGCTTGAATACGAGTCTTACAGCAAGCCCAGGATTTTCAGTCAGTAGGAATTTATTGATCACCTTTGGATTTTACCGGCTGCGCCTCAGAAGTTTGTAATTTACTCTTCCTTCACTGTGTCCAATGTTCACTACTTCTGGTCGAACCTTGCAAACACTTGTTTCTTGGTGCTGTGCTCTTCTCTTAAATTATTACGGCCATTTATGAGTCTGATTCCTCTTTGCAAAGTAGTCATGCGGATTTCGTCGTTAGAAAGTCATCTTGAAATCATCCCGTTTGTCGTGTGATTCTTGTGCAGCGCAGCTTTTGAGAGAATTTAGCTTCAGTGATCGTACTTTGACATAACATTTACATTTATCTGAACACCCAACTGGCCATTACATCAGTTTTTCGTCATGGCTGCGTCATGTCGAGCTTTTTCACGTGCTGCCCTTGATCACTTGGCAGAGAGTGCAGATTGGTTGAGTTGCAGTTCTTTGGGACTCAGTAGTCTGACGTTGACGTTCAGTTAAATACTACTTGAATATTCCTTTATACATGAACTGATAGCAGTACGCCATTTCTTGGAGAGGTAGATCGGTTTGCTACACGATTAGCTACTTGAACGATATTTTTTGGTCAGCTGCGTTGTTTCTCTAAATTTCATTATGCTCATGTTTCTTTGTCTCCGGTGTTGTGAGGGATATTAAAAACTTAAAAAGCTCTTCTCGAAGTTGTAGCTAAAATAATGTCCAGAGTTGGGATAGTCGTCAAAGAAGTTTCCGTAGTCGGCAATATGGATGATCATTTGAGATTGAGTATTCTTATTGTATTTTCTTTATATCATTTTAATATATTATAAAGTATGTACTCTTGCAGACCAGCTCACTGAGGGCCTCTTTCGAGTGATACCGGCGCAGTCAGAAATGCAGTAACTTCATTTTCGAGAGCTCAAGTTTAGTCCATCTCCTTCCTTGTTATATTTTCTTCTGGAGCAGCGTAGAGGATATATTGCTTTATAGTAAGACGAAGATTGACTTGAAGATGGCAGATGGGGTTGAGGAACAGTTGATTGCGATGCGTGGGTTCCTTGATGGCGAAGTGGCTCAAAGACGTCTTGACAGGCTCGCTTCGCATTTCTCCGAAGAAAATATCTTAAAGGAAGAACAGCTGAGCAGAGAAGTATGTGCAAAACTTATCAGGCGGTCTGTAAATTCCTCAGTTCTGGCTAGCCTCATGGCAGGTACTTCAGCAGATCGTGTTCGTTGTTTCGGTGATGATTTCTGGATTAATAATATGCAGTATATTTTCTTCTTGTATATATGTTCTCGAAGGTCTTTATGCAAGAAGGTAATTTTTCGTCTGGGCTGAGAACTGCAGGTTGGATAGTGATTTTGAGACTGCAGAATTCTTAAATTAGTCTTTTCGTGCGCAGGTTGCTATCCAGCTGACAGGGAGAAGATCTTCAATTTTTTTATCAACCGTCCGGACTTGGAGACTCCTGTAGAAATTGCGAAAACTGAGCATCGGGAGCTAGTGTATATGCAGTTGACAGCTCTTGTCAATGAAGGAGGAGTAAATGCTATGAAATATTTGATGGAGGACCCTGCGCGCTACTTTACAATTATGGAGGCGGTTGGTTTCATTGATGTATCCCTTGGGATTAAATTTGGAGTACAGTTCAGGTAAGATGTCCATATATTTGCAGCCCTGCATACTTGCATACGTAATTTTTAGAGAATTAGGATATTATCAAGTTCTATCTGGTTGCATCAGGCGTATAATTTCTACATGTGATTTTATTTCAGTTTATGGGGAGGCTCTGTAGTTAATTTGGGAACTCAGAAGCATCGAGATAAATACTTGGAGGGCATTTCCAACTTGAAATATCCTGGATGTTTTGCCATGACTGAACTCCATCATGGTACGTGTCAGCAGAGAACTTTACACATTGGAATAGTAAAAATTCTAAGTTGTTTTGTTAGTATGACCAGCAGTAGACTTTTAAGTGAAAATATTTTTCTGTGAAACAAAATTCCTACTTGCATAAAGAAGTTTTGGAAAAAAGCATTATTTCTTTAAAATGTTTCGGTTTCACTGCAATCTTCAAAGCTACAGGAGCATTGTTGCTTTGAGTGCGTTTAAGATTTGCAATTTTGGTAGGGCATCGTCATTGTTCTTCTGAATGGTAGTTACTGAATAGTGAGAGTAGGAATCGATTTGGTCACTCATAGGTGTAGAGAAAAAGATCAACAGAATTTTCTTTAAAAAATATCTTTTGATGGTGTAGAGATGATTAGGGAGTCCTCATACATATTCGTCTTTCCCGCTTTTGTTTCTTTATCAGGTTCCAATGTCCAAGGAATTCAAACAACCGCTACATTTGATCGCATGACTGATGAATTTGTCATCAACACTCCAAACGAGGGAGCAACGAAATGGTGGATAGGTAATGCTGCCGTTCATGGGAAGATAGCGTCAGTTTTCGCTCGACTACAGCTGCCTTCTCCTGATTCCCACCTGGACACAGACATGGGCGTTCATGCTTTCATTGTTCCCCTGCGTTCAATGGAAGACCATTCTGTGCTCCCCGGAATTGAGATACGCGATTGTGGCTACAAGGTGGGATTAAATGGAGTTGATAACGGAGCCTTAAGATTCCACAACGTTCGTATCCCTAGAGACAACCTTCTGAATCGATTTGGGGACGTCTCTAGGGATGGGGAGTACAGTAGCACACTACCGACTATCAACAAACGGTTTGCAGCAACATTGGGGGAGCTTGTTGGTGGAAGAGTGGGTTTGGCTTACGGTTCTGTTGGAGTGCTAAAGGCCGCCTGCACCATTGCTATCAGGTAGAAATCTAAGATACAACTGGAAGTGATGGAATTAGAACTTACACAAGCTTCTCATCGAGACCTTGTTGCGGCAAACACTTACTAATCACTTTGACAATAGGGTTAAGCAAGAAAATTTTGAATAAAAGGTCGCTGGTATATTATCTTCACCTCAGAACTTAACGTCCAGAGTAATAGATCTGGAAAGACGATAAAATGCGGTTTTGTCGTAACGTTTGTGAAACATATTCGAAATTTTGTACTGAGAGTCTTCTTAATTATGCCATCCACCCAACCAGCACCTTCTGAAACAGTATTTAATTTTGTGCAGGTATTCATTGATAAGGCAACAGTTTGGACCCCCGAACAAGGAAGAAATCAGTATTTTGGACTATCAATCCCAACAGCAGAAATTGATGCCTATGCTTTCGTCAGCATACGCCTTTAATTTTGCTACGGAATACCTGGTACGAATCTCACTTTGCCACTCAACCTGCGCCATTCAATGTGAGGGAGTTTATTCTGACAATGCAGGTATCTCCTCTGGTATGCCGTGTACAATTTAGCATATCATCCTGTTTGCAGCCATCGCTACCACCCCCTCTTTTCTCGCGTCGTGGCAAACACCTGACAACATAGATTTCTTTCGCCTCCTTCAGGTGGAGCGTTATGCCGAAATGAAGAGGACCCATGATGATGACATAGTTGCTGACGTACATGCTCTCTCCGCGGGACTCAAAGCATACATCACATCCTACACCGCAAAATCACTGAACACTTGTCGAGAGTCCTGTGGTGGACACGGCTACGCAGCTGTAAATCGCTTTGGCTCGCTTAGGAATGATCACGACATCTTTCAAACATTCGAAGGAGACAACACTGTCCTTCTACAACAGGTATGCTAAGGTTAACGTCGCACCCTCTCAAACTAGATCGGTCTCCAGCCATGTCAAGAGCAGGAAGCTAACCGAAATGCACATTGATCATTCATTTTAACGGATACACATACGTGAGGTATCAGTTAGTGCTTAGAAATCTGTTGCTTCATTTGATAGTTGTAACCCTGGAATGTGTCAGGTGGCAGGAGATCTGCTGAAACAGTACAAGAGAAAGTTTGAAGGCGGAGCGCTGAGTGTAACTTGGACCTACTTGAGAGATTCCATGACTACTTACTTATCCCAGACAAATCCCGTCGTTACACATCGAGAGGGTTATAGCCATTTACGTGACCCTCGGTTCCAGCTTGATGCCTTTCAGGTACTTTTTTGATTCCAAAACTTCCCTAGGTATGACTTGTGTGGGTGACAACCTATTGTTAAAGGGCATTCCTCGCGTCTTCATGTTTCCTGTCGGTGCCGGTTCGTCATTCACTTCACTCTCATCATGTTCTCTCCTTCGCGCAGTATCGCACTGCAAGGTTGCTGCACACGGCAGCACTGCGGTTGAGGAAGCACTCCAAACGATTGGGCAGCTTTGGGGCCTGGAACCGCTGTCTGAACCACCTGCTCACGTTGGCGGAGTCCCACATTGAGTCAGTGATCCTAGCGAAATTCACCGAGGCGATTGAAAGGTAATTTCCTTCATCTCACTTCATGTAGGAGAAGATTGCTCGCCATGGTGCATGATTTCGGGAAAATCCTCGTTGTGGTCCTAGTGCACGTGTTCTTGAATACTAGGATGTGGTAACTAAGCTGGGTTCTGTGACCGATCCCAGATGCGAGGACAGGAATACGAGGAAAGTGTTGAACATGTTGCGCGACTTGTACGCGTTGGACCGAATTTGGAAGGACATCGGCACCTACCGCAACCAAGACTACATTGCTCCAAACAAGGCCAAGGTGAGCATTGGACCTTTTTCTGCAAGAACTTATTGTGACACCCTGATCCAATAGCGCTACCGTGCACTGTGCTACGATGCATATTCGATGAAGTTCAGTTGCACTTTACGCTTCTATGTGGAAGTGTGTCATCGGATGTTGCGCCGAGTTGTCCTAGATTTGAGATTCACGCAATGATCATGTGATGCAAGTGTCTTGTTAGGGCAATCAGCTTCGAGATGGGATTCAGGTTTTTAATCCGCACCCGCTTATGTTGATGTGTTCCTTTTTCAGGCCATTCATCGACTGGTTGAGTATTTGAGCTTTGAACTGAAAGGTGTAGCCGGTTCTCTGGTAGATGGGTTCGGCATCCCTGACGTACTTTTGCGCGCCCCGATCGGGTTGCAGTCGGGTCAGTATACCGAGTACTCCCATCACATCGGGTTTGAGTAGGCCAGCTTGTGGGAGCCCCACAAGGCGAAGGTAATAACAGGTTAGGCACCGATATTCGTTAGTATACACGATACTGAAGAAACCTAGCAATCAAGCGTGTCGAGGTGTCTGCAGCTGCATGCTGGAATGACAACGAAGGCGGAAAGAAAGTAAGTCCAACCTTTTGTGGGCGCTGCTGAATTAGGGTGCTACAAGAAGATGATAACAGACTAGGAGGTTGATTTTAGATTGAAGATGGCCGGTCTTGCTTGTGAGGGGCACAACTGTGCTTCAGGAGTTGGGTTTGGGACGGGCATTTTGCTGGAGGTACTCGTCATGCAGCTTCGTCGCTTGCCTCACAAAGTCTTCTTGTTGTGTAGCATTTAACGCTGGACATGACCGAAGGAATTGTCTGTAGTTTTGTGCTGCAAGCTGTCCATACTAAGAATCCTCTTCAAGCTGAGCTTTTAGCCTGCAAATTTTGGTAAACTGTACTTGAGTTTTTCATGCTTTTTGCGAGCTACCACAATTGGAGAAAGCAGCACAAGTTTTCCATACGTTTAGAAACGACCACAATTAGAAGAAGGAAGATAATTGGAGAAAGATAATTAGAGAAATCAAAATGTCTTAGTTGACATGTTTATTAAAATTTCTCGAGAAGGTGGTTTAGATGTTCATGCTTTGTTTCTACAACTTTGGGGTTTATCTTGTAACAAGGTTAATCAGCAGGTAGAATGGAGATTTGCAAAAAATCAATCTACTAGTCTTTTGAATTCAATGAATTATTTTGTTTGAAAAGTCAAATGTAAATTCTGTGAAATTTTGTGAAATTTTGTGACTTATATAAATGAAAACTAGATAATTATATTTTTTTAGGAGTATCATCATAGACAAGAAAGTGGTAATAAAAAATAAAGCATTAATAATCAAGGAAAAATGGGTTTTATTATTGTGATGACATCTTAGGTAGTAGCAACCAACATAGGCCTTGTTGCAAACATGAAATATATAATAACAATATCCTATACCAAATTGCAATAATAATATCTTTTGTTCTATAAATATCACTACATATTTGATTAAAGTTATGCAAATAAAGGATACAAAAGAGAACATTTTCTTTAGACCAATACTTATTCATTGCCTATACTATTTTATTACATAGAAGTAAGTATAATAAAAAAATATATCAAGTAAATAATATCTTTTTCAAAAAATATTGAAGATTTTTTTTTAATTAGATGTAGATTATGTCTATAAATACGTCTAAGTATGTTATGTGATTATTAATTTTTCTCTATAAGCTTAATACTATTAAAATTTGGCAATAGAAACAACCTACAATTTGGATGCTTGGGTCATAAATCTCAATTTTTTTACAAAGCTTTTACAAGGCCATCTTAAAGACATGTATATATAAAGGTAAGACTAAGATCTTTCAAGGTCTTCTCAATGCCTTTCTTGTATTTAAGTCTTGGTCTAAGATTCTATAGTTTTTTTGTATTTGCTAATAGCTTCTCAAATTCTTTTCTATCTTATGTTTATATCTTTTTTTTACTTACTTTCTATTGTCTCAATAATACTTGAATGTATTGTCTTTTTAAAGTTTTATTTAAATTCATATCCTTGATAGTTTAAAAAGATTAATACAAATAATATCAAAGTTTATAAAAAATAGATTATATTTTTTTTTTCTTGAAAGCATCAAATATTTTGAAAGGTTACAAATTATCCTTCTTCAATATATTATTTTTTGATACGATTTTTCTCTCTTTTTTATATGATTTTTTTCAATTTTTTCAAACCATAATATAATTAGTAGGAATAAAGAAAATTTAAAATATAAATATATAAATAAATGAAAAAATAAGACTTAATACTTCTTATTTATTAAATTCATTTACAACTTCAATCAACTTTGAAGTAATTAATTAAGAAGACAAAATAATCACAAATATTTCTATAAAAATTATACTATGCTAAATATTCCATACAAAGATAAATGCATCAATTAAAGAATTAAGAAATTTATTTTGAAAGAAGTTTAAAAGTAGTAAGATATAATTTTATTATAATTATTTAAGAATTATGTTAAAAAATCCACTTAAATAATAACTTAGAATTAGATAGTTAACATAAAGATATATTTTTCTTTAAGCTTGTACACATGTCTTTGTGTCACAAACATATACATTTATTTCAATAATTACTTATATGATTAGATAGAAGTAGATAAATATAGATTAACATCATAGACTTTTTATAAAGCTTCTTAGAAGCTTCATAGATGCTATTTTAACTTAAGATGTGTTTGTAGGTTGGAAACTTGGCCAACAAGTAAACCATGTGTTGGTAGCTTGTGGAACAAGTTAATTCTATATAATAGCTTATGGAACAAGCTAACCATGTGGCGCATACATAGATAACTTGCCTTGCAAGTTAAGATATGTGGCTAACAAAGTCAACATGTTTTGGAGGTCCTATAAGACATTGCCATATAGCTCCTAGTTAAGAGTATATATGGAGGCAAGAGTGAAGCCTTCTTCACTCTTGCCAACACCGTTCTAGTCCTTAGTTTTATTTCAAGACTTTCTAGTCTTCTTATTTTTTGCAATAGTTATTCTAATTAATATTACCTTATCTTTTGAGTGACTTTTTAGTTCTCTTCAGTGACACAAGAGTGTATTGATGATTCTCTTTCTTTGAGATTTATGTCCCTAACAGTTTGATAAGAATGCTAATATATTATTTTTGTCTTGTTTTAAAAGTGAGTGGATTACTCCACTTCTATTGTTGTATTTTGAAGATTGCAAACTATCCACCTTTTAAACAAAATAAAATAAATAAATAAATAAATAAATCTTATTTTTTAACATTGATCTTTCTTTAAAGAGAGTGGATTACCTCATTTTGTCAAAAATTTTAATAGAGGTTGCGGATTACCCTACTCTAATTTAACTTTTTGGATTTATTTGAATTGCCTATGGAAGAAAGGATTATGGATGCTACACTTATCGAAAGTGAGAATAGATTTGCAACTATTGTAGATCTTCATGAGCTTGTCAACACTCTAAGAGTAGAAATCTCATGTATTTGTAACATGAATCATGGAGGTATTATGCCTACACCAATGGAAGAAGTTGAATGTCTACTACAAGAAGTTGTGCAATTGAAGGAAGTAAGTAGATCAACCTCAGAACCAAATCGAGGGAATTTTGTGTCTACAAGTATGATGGGAAAAAAGTTTAGTATGCCTCAGAAGTTTGATGGAATAAGATTAAAATTTTGAGGATTTTTTCAATAAGTCAAGCTCTATCTAAGGTTGTACCTTTTCTAATATCTTGATGAATTTACTCAAGTTGGATTCATAGGTGTATTTCTATTAGAAAGTGTTGTTTCTTGGTTTGTACCTTTAATGAAAAAGATTCATGACTTCTTTATGATTTGAATTCATTCTTAGAAGTATTTATGGCCACATTTGGAGAAAGTGATTAAGAACTAATAGCAGAGACCAAATTCTTATCTTTACGACAAAGATCACAATCAATCACCATATATGCTATTAAATTCCAAAACCTTGCTTGTGATATGGATTAGAATGACAAAGCACTCATCAATCAATTTTGATATGGATTAAAGGATAGTATCAAAGATTTGTTATTAACAATGCTAAAGTACAATTGTTGGAACAATTTATTGCTCAAGCAATTGCATGCGACAATTGATTATTTGAAAGGCTTCAAGAACAAAGACTTGGTTGGCAAGGAACAAAACAAGTAATGGCAATAGTTTCAATTTTTTTTGAAACGTATTCATTAAGGTCAAAACCAATGTAAATTGATACGATACATTTTAAAACTCTCATAAAGCAGGAAAAGACTTGACGTTGTTAAGAAGGTTTGTGTTTATATTATGGAGAAGCTAAGCACATTGCTCAACATTGTCTCAAAGAAGCAACGCAATTACAAAATGAAGAACACAATTATCACAGAAGATAATGTATCAAAAAAATAAGTTTTTCTATCTACAATAGGGACTGTGCGGCTGGAATCATGTGCAACACCTAGTAAAGGTCCTATTCTCTCTTCAGATCCCTCACCTTGTTTTATAATAGATGTGTGTTTAGGACCTAAAAATCACAAAGTCTTTGTCTTATTAGATTTAAGAGCCTCAACTTATTTTATAAATGAAGATTTTATCAAAAATCAAAAAATATCTTTGGTCAAGAAAATTAAATCCGTACATGTAAAAGTCATAGATGATTGTTTCTTGTCTTCTAGAAATGTTATTAATGAAATTGTTCCTTTAGATATAACAATTAAAGTTCATAACAGTGTAGTAATATTTAATGTAATAAGATTTCTTTCTATTCCGATTATTTTAGGATTATTGTGGCTAGAAAAATATAACCTTCAAACAGATTGAATTTCTTGTAACCTTAATTTTTTGGGTAATATAATCCAAGATTGAGTTAGCAAAGTAGAAGTATAAAAGTCTAGTACTTCCAAACCTTTACTAGTAGGTGCAAGAGCTTTCATACATGCTGGAAAAGAAAGATCATCTTTTGTTATATATGCTATGTCTATTTTTAATGGTAAAAAAATATCAAGTGATATTCCTAGCCAATATGAATAATTCCAAGACGTTTTTTGAAAAAAAAAATGCAGATACTCTTTCAAAGCATTGACCTTATGATTGTTCAATTGATTTGCAAGAAAGAGCTCAACCACTATATGGATCAATCTATAGCTTATCACAGAATGAGTTGCTTACATTAAAAGAATAAATTGATGAGAACTTGGCAAAGAACTTCATAGGCCATTCTAAATCCCCGGTCGGAGTTCCTACCTTATTTGTAAAGAAAAAAGATGGATCTCTATAGATATATGTGGATTATCGAGGATTCAATAAGATCACCATCAAGAATAAGTATCATTTACCTTTGATTTCAGGACTTCTTGACCAATTCAAACAAGCAAAGATTTATACCAAAATAGATCTACAAAGAGCATACAACTTAGTTCGTATCAAAGAAGGAGATGAATGGAAGATTGCTTTTCAAACTAGGTATGGATATTTTGAATACAATGTCATGCCTTTTGGACTCATGAATGCACTGGCCGCTTTTCAATATCTTATGAATGATATTTTTTGTAAATTTTTGGATGATTTTATCATTTACTATTTAGATGAAATTCTAATCTACTCTAAGAATACAAAAGAATATGAACTTCATGTTAGCCATGTATTATAGAAACTTAGAGATATAGGATTATATGCCAAGTTGGAAAAGTGTGTATTCCACACTATTCAAGTTGACTTTTTAGGATACATCATTTCCAATGAAGGCCTTATGATAGATCCTAAGAAGGTCCAAACTATCATAGATTAGAAGATTCTAAGAACAATATGAGATGTACAATGCTTTATAGGCTATGCTAATTATTACTGAATCTTTATTAGGAACTTTTCTCAAGTTGCAGCTCCACTTATTTATTTCACTTGTAAAGACAAACTTGAGTGGAATAAAGAAGCAAAACCATCATTTCATGCTTTAAAGAAGGAATTTACTTTTGCACCAATCTTAGATTGCGTCAACTTTTTCAAGGCCTTTTCGTGGAAATAGATGCATCAGACTTTGATATAAGTAATGTGTTGTCACAAATGAGAACAGATC